CATAAATTATTAGCGAGCTATTCCGATGTGTTTAGCTCGGACGATTTGGACTTGGGACGCACCTCGCTGCTCTCTCATCACATCGAAACGGGGGACGCGGCCCCTATCCGCTTGAACTCGCGTCGGATGAGTCCGGCTGAGCGTGAGCACGTTCGAGGGGCAGTGGAAGACATGTTGAAAGCGGATATTATATCTCCGTCTAATAGCCCGTGGGGTGCGCCTGTCGTGTTGGTTAAAAAGAAAGATGGTAAATTACGATTTTGTGTGGATTTTCGGAAGTTAAATAAAGTGTCGGTGGCAGATGCGTATCCCCTGCCGCGTATGGACGATTCTCTCGACGCCTTGTCAGGGGCTAAGTTTTTTCAACGCTAGATCTCTCTTCGGGCTTCTGGCAGCTTCCCCTTGACGAGCCCTCGCGGGAAAAGACAGCGTTCCGTACGCCGCAGGGGTTGTTCCAATTTAACTGTCTGCCGATGGGGTTGAATGCAGCCCCTGCCACCTTTCAGAGATTGATGGAGTTGGTATTGACGGGGTTGCAGTGGGAGACATGTCTCATTTATTTAGATGATATTATTGTCTTCAGCCGCACATTTGATGAGCATTTATTGCGGTTGGAGGCCGTTTTTGCCAGAATGCGTTCTGCTAATTTGAAATTCAAGCCTAAGAAATGTCATCTACTGCAACGTTCCGTTCGATACTTGGGACATATTGTTAGTGCGGACGGGGTGGCCACGGATCCAGAGAAAACTGCGTGTGTCCGGGTTTGGGCAACCCCCGCCACGGTGGGTGATGTGCGTCGGTTTTTGGGGTTCGCCTCATATTACCGGAGGTTTGTTCCGAATTTCGCTACTATCGCCAGGCCTTTGCATCTCCTTACTGGGAAGGGGCACAAATTTGTGTGGGGACCGCCGGAGGAGGCGGCGTTTCGGAGCCTGCGCGACCTACTGGCTACTGCGCCGACGTTGGATTATCCGGATTTTGAACATCCCTTCATTCTGGATACTGATGCGAGTGACACCGGGATTGGGGCGGTGTTGTCCCAGTCAAAAGGTGGTGTTGAGCGTGTGGTGGCGTACGGGAGTCGGGTTTTGTCTCCCGCGGAAACTCGTTACTGCGTCACTCGCAGGGAACTTTTGGCTATTGTGTATTTTCTCCGCCAATTTCGACCGTATCTGTACGGTCGGTCGTTTATTGTCCGAACGGACCATGCGGCCTTGCAGTACGCTCTTAAGATGGACCAGCCATCCGGACAATTGGCGAGATGGCTGGACACGTTGCAAGAATTCTCCTTCCAAATTCACCATCGGAAGGGTGTGCGTCACGCTAACGCGGACGCACTGTCCAGGTTGCCGCAACAATCCCCTTGTGCGTGTGCGTCGGGGACGCATAGGTGTGGACCGGCTCAGCCCCCCCCTCAGCCTGTCGCGCGGGCAGTGGATGTTCTCGAACCTCCGCTTACACCGGGACCGGTTGAAGGGGGACCGGCTGACGGGATTTTGCGTCTTCCAAGGTCTGTGTGGATTCGGGAGCAAATGTTGGACGATTCTTTGGTGTCGTTACGGAAACGAACGGAGAAGGCGGGTAAGGAAGTCGGTGCGGGTGGTAATTCGGAAACTGCTCTCCGAGATGGGTTACTGATGTGGAGGGAAGGGATACAGGAACACTGGCGTCTCGTTGTGCCTGCGTCATTGCGCTATGAGTTGATTAGATCTTTGCACTGTGACACACTTTTACACCTGGGGGTGCAGAAAACCCTATTGACGCTGCAACGAGACTATTATTGGCACGGCATGACGACGGATGTCGTCGGTCACGTTCGCGCGTGTCCCGATTGTGCCCGCCGTAAGCCGCCTAAACATCCATATGTTCCGCCGATACAATCGATTAAAGTATCTCGGGTTAATGAGTTGGTGGCGTTAGATATTTTGGGACCCTTTCCGCCATCAGCTAAAGGAAATAAGTATTTACTGGTGGGGGTGGAGTACCTCTCTCGCTGGCCGATGGCCTGGCCCTTGCCTGACCAGTCAGCGGCGTCTATCACGGACACCTTTCTATTTGGGTATGTAATGGACAAAGGGGCTCCGGAGAGGCTCCTTACGGATCAGGGACGTAACTTTTCGTCTAAATTGTTGGGGGAGGTGTGTGCGGCTCTTGGAACTAAAAAGATACGGACGTCCCCCTACCACCCGCAAACGGATGGTATGGTGGAACGGTTGAATCGGACTCTGTCCGCCATGCTGTGCCATACAGTCGGGGAAAACCAATCTGATTGGGATTTGCATATCCCTGGGGTGCTTTCGGCGTATCGCATGACGCCGCACGCGGCTACTGGATACTCGCCGTTTTTCCTTATGTACGGCCGTGAGAACGTGCCGCCGATTCATGACCAGTTGGGAACCGGTGCGAGGGGGCCTGTTAAGCCTCTTCCTGAGTATATTAAGGACAACGTTCGGCGTGTCGCTGAGGCGAGGGAAAATGCCCGCATGGCTACTGCCAAGGCTCAGGCCAGGAATGAGCGGTGTGCCCGACGTTCAAAGGGGGAGTGTCCCTGGAAAAAGGGGGACCTGGCCTGGCTTCATTGCCCACAGGTGCGGCCAGGTACATCTCCTAAATTACATCGACCTTGGCAGGGTCCGGTCCGCCTCATTGAGGTTCCCAACCCACAGTCGGCGCGTGTTCAGGTTGGTGCACGGCGTTGGTTCGTGCACACGTCCCGGTTGAAGCCATACATTGCCCCACGGCCGGATGCGTCATCTCCCCAAGTTGCCTTGCCGGGGTCTGTTGCTGCCGACTCGCCCTTGCCTGTGTCTGCTGACCTTGCGAGAGCGCCTGTCGTACCCTTCACAGACAAGCCGGCCGTGACAGCGCAGGGAGGAGGACCTTCCGCTTGTGGGACGCCGACCGGAGCCGCAGAACCCACGGGACCTGCAGCTCTTCCTATCCCTCCGCGGACGCGAGTACGGGATGTTTCTGGACGCGAGCGGGACAGTGGCGGGCCTCCAATGGCGACGGAAGAACTTGCGCCCGTCGCCCCTAAAACCCTTCCACGTTCCCGCTCGGCGGGTGGGCCGCCGACCGTCCGGGACGGCCCGGCTACCCGTACTCGCTCGAAATCCCTCACGTTTCGTTAGATTGTGTTGTGTTGTGTTATTGTTATAATGTTCTTCAATGCTTCGTGTCTTTTTGCGTGTTGGCCCTTTACACCCGCATTGCTTTTCAGGTTGCAATTCAGCCGAGGTCGGCTGGATTTTCTTTAGGGGGGAGGGTGATGTAATGCGGTTGTAAACGGCCCTTCTGAGGTGCCGTCAGGGGGGGAGGAGTTAGGTCACGTGGGGGGAGAGGGGTTGAGTATAGAAGGAGGGGAACCGGAAGAGCAGGGGGAGTGACTGGGAGCCAGGAACAGAGGAAGGCCACGTAGGGCGAAGCGGGGTGTGGCGAGATCGCCACGAACACGGGGGAAGCGAGGATCGGCACCGTTGGCCAGCGGTGACCGACCCGAAGCAGCAAGGAGGCTGCAGTCAGCAGCGGGGCTGCACAGAGAGAGTGGGCAGCGGGTCTGCATACAGTGACAGCCAGAGGGTCTGCACATAGGGGTAGCAGCAAGTCTGCAGGGAGGAGGTTACAGTAGATGAAGCAGAGAGTCAGAGGGGTGAGGAAGCTATAATAGCAGTGAATAGCCGGGGGCTACAAATACAGGAGTTATAACAGAGTGCCGTGTGGGTAAAGACGTGAACCTGAATAAAGACACGAAGACAGAAAGAAGTGTTCGAGTCCTTTTATTACATATACATTAAGGGAGCTCTCAGGGAATACTCACGTCTGGCGGCGTTGTCAGAGGCGAGTGCCTCCCTCAACTCCCGGTTCGCAGATCGTTTTTCTCTGCTTCAAATAAAGTGACTTTTGAAAATATAACAATGAGCTGCGTCGCCATGGCGTTACACGTATGTGTGTATGTTCGTAGGATATTCGTAGGGTCTCAAGCTTTGATATCCACGGATATGAACCGCAAGGGGAAATGAGTCATTGCACCTTTGGACGTGACCTGGGAAGCAAAATCATTAGCACTGTGATTTAGGTGTCCGTGTGGACGTGGTTGGCAAGATTATTGTCCCATGTACGTATGTTGAACTTCCTTGCGTACGTAGCCAACCATGTTAATCGGATGTTGTGGGGATGAGGGGGGAGAACAACAAAGCGGCCATCCATTTAGTACGTACGCGTGGAGGGGAGACGGGGGTTAACCCAAATGCGTACGCTTGCGTATGGGGGGGTCTACTGACAATGTACGTACGCATAGGAAACTGGGGGTGGGGGGTGAAGCCTCGATAATAATTTGTCTACATTGGCCTTCAAATGAGTTAGATAGTCCGGCGGTGGACTATCTGTTTGCTTAAACACGTTAATGTTATTAATCCTTGATCGTTTCTGCGTGGATTAAATATGGGCTGTTCAATAGGATTGGGGGGGGGGAGGGTGCGTCAGGCGTACGTACGCAGGTGGGGGGGGGGGGGGTGTACAGGGAGGGGGGGTCAAGTTTTTACCGATTTTTTGCGTACCTACTTAATGGATGGCCCCAAACGAAGCACAACAAGCGGTCGCAATTGCGAGGTTGATGGGCGATGCTCGTATTGTACCGTGTGTACAAAGACTCCCTAAAGAAGTCCCTCACTGCTTGCTGCATCGATCACCGTCAGTGGGCAACACAAGCAGCTGATCGCAACTCCTGGCGGCACACAGTCCACCAGGCCACCTCCTTCTTCGAAGATACCCGCAGGGCCCGTATGGAGGACAAAAGGAGAAGGAGGAAGAACCGTGATCCCTCAGCACCCATCCCAGATGAGACCTTCACTTGCAGCTGTTGTGGCAGGACCTGCCTGTCCCGCATAGGCCTCTTCAGCCACCAGCGTGCCTGCAGAAGACGTGGATGTCCTTCCTAGATCTTCGTTCGCGAAGCCAAGCCATGATGATGATGACCGTGTGTACCCCCCCCCCCCTTTTAGTGGGGGCTGACGTCGGCTGCACGAGCCAAGGGGGCCAGTGCGTGGACTGGCGCAACTACAAGTGCACGGCTGGGGTCGCCACGGGTCTCTGCAACGGGGACGCCAATCGCCGCTGCTGCCTGGCGTGCAGCTCCACCTGTGAGTGTCCCCGCGCGTGGGGACACTCAGCGAGTCGAAGGGGCCGTCCATAAATGACGTCACGCGATTTTGGACGATTTTTTTTACCCCCCCCCCCTTCGTCACACGGCGTCAACAAAAAGTCAGACCCCCCCCCTCAAAGATGACGTCACAAAGCTCTGCCCTCCCCCCCAAATAAAACTAAAACATGCTTCAAATCGCTTTAAACTATTGTCATTGTAGCACGTATTTAATGTGGCGCTGCACTTTATTTTAAAAAAAGTATATTTAATTAAGTAGAACGTGTTGTCTATATGTATTTAAAGTTGCGCATTTTGATGTGACGTCAATTTCTCAGCCCCCCCCCCCCATCGTCACACATCGTCACAAATGTCTGACCACCCCCCCTCCTAGGTGCGTGACGTCATTTATGGACGGCCCTTAACATAATACAAAAAATACAAATGCCATAACCGTTGACCAGAATTAACAAGTGAGCGTATTGGCGGTACATCGGTGGTGCCGCGGGGAAAAAATGAAAATACAATTTTAAGGCCATGATTTTTTTTTTTCTCGCGATTCGCAACCCCAGGTCATACAACCTTGCGGGGTGGCGAGTCAAAATCAGTCCTCGTGATATCAAAGCAGTCGAAAGACGAATGTCAGTTACACATTTTGATTTGAGACTGGTTTATGAGGACCGGTGTGTTAAGCTGCACCGGTGTACCGCCAATACGTCCATTTGTATTTGTTACATGTTCACCGGATTGTGTAAGTTTAACCGGTAAAAAAACCAAAACAATTGTTAACTAGAACTGAACCCTAAAAACTTATCGGGAACCAATTGCACTGTAACCGTTATTTCCCCGGTTTCGGTTTAACCCGAACCGATGAGACAAGCCAACGGTTCAACTCCCAGCCCTCTGTGCCATGAAAAGGTCACGGATTTGCTGATGCCCAGCCTCCCTTCGCTATTACTCAGAGGCGAATAAGGACACGGTACAGATCGTGCATCACCATTAACCTCCGCACACTAACGTACAAATCCTCCCCCCCCCCCTAATAACACGCTGTATTGCGAGTCCCAAATGGAACTAAACAGCATGAATTTGCGTGTACCGCAGTGCCGGATTTATCCTAGTAGCACAAGTAGCTACATATGCTATGGGCCCCGCACTTTCAAGGGCCCCGCGCTAAATATTTTCAAGCTTTTAATTCCGGTTCAGTGATTCTGCACTTGCTCTATTACTATAGTACTATACCGCCTTCAACTTTTATGAACGACTGGTGTTTAAGGTTAGCGATTTGTCGTATTATCCGGCTGTACAGCAAATAAAAAAAATACAATGACTTCACTATGCAAGTAAAAAAAAAAGTAAAATATTTTTCTATATTTAGGGCCCCTTTATAACATATGCTACAGGCCCCGCACTATCTTCATCCGGCACTGATGTACCCGCACGTTACGCCTGCAGGTCTTTCCAACGAGCAGAGCTGGTCGCAGAGCGACGGTGGCTGCACGGGCAGTGGTGGCACGTGCCAGATCAACAGCAACTACTGCGCTGGCTACTACGCCAGCGGCAAGTGCGGGGGCCCCTCCAACCGGCAGTGCTGCCTCAGTGAGTGACCGCTCACCGAGCAACCCCCCCCCCCTAGGCATCCTCACGGTCACGAGGTGAACCCGACGGACGGGGCGTTGGAGCAAGTGGGACGATTACCTTCGGTATATGTGCAGGAGAGCGGCGAGTAAGCCTCGCAATTAGGCTTTCGTGGGTTGACTCTCCAACACACAGGTGTGCTGAACGAGTAACGAACTGGCACGTTTTGTTAACGTGGCAAAACTTACTCATTGGCTGTGTCGGGCGGTGGCGGGTATAACGACACATTTATATTTACGCGACCGAACACGAAAAAAACCCCTCTATTATGAAGCGAGTAAGATCGCCAGACATTTACAGCTGAGCCCCGTGTGAGTCTTCAGAGTGATTTGAGGCTGACCCGGGTAAAGAGCCGTGGTGATATTTGTAATAAGTATAACCAGTAAAAACAAAGTTTTTCACTATAAATCCTTTATATGCGTGGCGGCTAGAGTCCTCTCGTCCTCTGGCTTGAGATGGCTGCCACCTATGGGTCAGATGATTGTCTGCCAGTATTAAGCAATTGGTAATTAAATATTTAATTTGTTTTCCCTAAACAGTGTAAAATTTTGGAAAAATGTTTTCACGAACATTAATTGTCTCGCACAACGAGTCTGTGTGCAAAATGTCAGCTCGATTGGATCACGGGAAGTGGGTTAAAAAACGACCGAAAGATTTGCACGGTCGTAAGCAAGCAAGCAAGCACGCAAGCAAGCAAGCGAACTTAATATAAAGGATTTAAAAACTGCTTTTGTTTCTGGCGTGGTTTCAACGACATTAATGTTTCACCTTGCTGACACGTGCGTTCTAAACGGAGGCACCCAATTATGTGACATATACTCCATGAATTGCAAATGTGTTTGGTGTGTTTATTTTACATTTCACTCAGGCCATGATTTAAATGCAGTACAATTAGACTAGTTTTCATCACAAATACTGGAGCAGCCTCACGCTGCTGTAAACATATGGCAGGATACAAAGTGATTGCCGTTAAAGGATTCAAATCCCTTCCCATATATACAGAAACACTTCTCATCCTATTGTGCGTGCACTACAGGACACCTTCCCGTGCACTGTATTATTTCTGTTGCACGAGCATTTGCGCAAGCAAGGTGCTTGGATGTGGTCTCCTGAAAGCGATTACATCTTCCTCTTATCGGAGTTTTTGTTCAGATTAGAGGGAGTGGTCCAGAATTAGTGGCAAATTCATCTTAATGCTTGGGAAAAAGGAATACAATGTGTGAATAAACACAAATAACTGCATGCGCCCATAGCCCATCCTCTCATCAAATTGTACGAGGAGTTTGCGTGAGTACTCTATCATATGTGCCGTGCTGTTTTGCTGCTAAAGAGGTAAATACGCCCCCTTAAAATCACGCCACTGTGCAATTAATGCGCACACCCTTGATCGAAGCCCATGCTGAATTCTGGTTAAAACCTAAGGGGCTGCATTGATAAGAATGTGCAAGCACATCCTGTACCAAAAAATACCCAATCACTGTCATCACACGGTGGTTGTTACATCGGATATATGATGCTACACATGACAACGGTGGTGAGTTTTTTGCAGCCTGTATTAAATG